CCTGGCACCATCACTATGGTGAAGGACGGTGGTGGCAGCATCATGCTGTGTGGATGTTTTTCAGCGGCAGGGACTGGAAGACTAGTCAGGATCGAGGGAAAGATTAACAGAGCAAAGTACAGAGAGATCCTTGATGAAAACCTGCTCCAGAGCACTCAGGACCTCAGACTGGGGCGAATGTTCACCTTCCAACAGAACACGACCCTAAGCACACAGCCAAGACAACGCAGGAGTGGCTTCGGGACAAGTCTCTGAATGTCCTTGAGTGGCCCAGCCAGAGCCCAGACTTGAACCCGATCTAACATCTCTGGAAAGACCTGAAAATAGCTGTGCAGAGCTTGAGAGGATCTGCAGAGAAGAATGGGAGAAACTCCCTAAATACAGGTGTGCCAAGCTTGTAGCGTCATACCCAAGAAGACTCAAGGCTGTAATCGCTGCCAAAGGTGTTTCAACAAAGTACTGAGTAAAGGGTCTGAATACTTATGTAAATGTGATATTTCAGTTTTTTTAATATATTTTTTATATGGGGTATTGTGTGTAAATTGATGAGGGATTCTTTTTTAAAAATCAATTTGAAAATAAGGCTGTTGTCACACCCTGGCTCTGGGACTCTATATGTTGAGCCAGGGTGTGTTCATTCTATGTGTTCTATTTCTATGTTGGGGGTTCTAGGTTGTGTATTTCTATGTTTGCCTTAGTGACTCCCAATCAGAGGCAACGAGTGTCAGCTGTTGGCTGGTTGTCTCTGATTGGGAGCCATATTTAAACTGTCTGTTTTTCACTTTGTGTTTGTGGGTTTTTGTTCCGTGTTCGGTCATTGTCACCGTGGACTTTACGAGTCGTTTGTTGTTTTGTTCGTGCTTTAATTTAATAAATAACCATGTTCGTTCAACACGCTGCGCATTGGTCTACTTCTCTCCCTGACGATCGTGATAGAAAAACCCACCATACCAGGACCAAGCAGCGTGTCCAGGAGCAGGCAGCCTGGACATGGGAGGAGATATTGGACGGGAAAGGGTCCTGGACCTGGGAGGAGATCCTGGCCGGGATGGATCGCCGGCCATGGAGTGAGACAGTTGAGAGGCGACGGAGAGAGGAGCAACGGCGTAAGCAGTGTCGGCGTCGGACGGTCGAGAGGCAACCCCCAAAAAAATTTAGGGGGGGGCACACGGCAGGGGCGACTGGGCAGCAGGAGGCTGCCACAGGGCGATTAGGTGAGGAGGCCACCAGGTTAAGGGGGCTACTGGCGCAGAGGGAGCAGGAGTTAGTGTTGCAGAGGATGGAGCTATTGGAGGCGATAAGGGAAAGGGTGAGAAATGAGGCACGGCGAGAGGAACTCGGTAGGCAGCTGAGGGAGCGGAGGGTTATGTTGAAACCCAGTCCCGCTCCTCACACCAAGCAAGTGGTGTGCGTCACCAGTCCGGTCCGGCCCGTTCCTGCTTCCCGCACTAAGTGTACAGTGCACGTCGCCAGCCCAGCCCGGCCTGTTCCTGCCCCTCGCACCAAGCCTACGGTGTGCGTCGCCAGCCCGGCCCGGCCTGTTCCTGCCCCTCGCACCAAACCTACGGTGTGCGTCGCCGGCCCGGCCCGGCCCGTTCCTGCTTCCCGCACTAAGTGTACGGTGCGCGTCGCCAGCCCGGCCCGGCCTGTCCCTGCTCCACGCACCAAGCCTACGGTGTGCGTCGCCAGCCCAGCCCGGCCTGTCCCTGCTCCACGCACCAAGCCTACGGTGTGCGTCGCCAGCCCAGTCCGGCCTGTCCCTGCTCCACGCACCAAGCCTACGGTGTGCGTCGCCAGCCCAGCCCGGGCTGTCCCTGCTCCACGCACCAAGCCTACGGTGTGCGTCGCCAGCCCAGCCCGGCCTGTCCCTGCTCCACGCACCAAGCCTACGGGGTGCGTCGCCAGCCCAGTCCGGCCTGTCCCTGCTCCACGCACCAAGCCTACGGTGTGCGTCGCCAGCCCCGCCCGGCCTGTCCCTGCTCCACGCACCAGGCCTACGGTGTGCGTCGCCAGCCCAGTCCGGCCCGTCCCTGCTCCACGCACCAAGCCTACGGTGTGCGTCGCCAGCCCAGTCCGGCCTGTCCCTGCTCCACGCACCAAGCCTACGGTGTGCGTCGCCAGCCCAGTCCGGCCTGTTCCTGCTCCACGCACCAAGCCTACGGTGCGCGTCGCCAGCCCGGCCCGGCCTGTTCCTGCCACTCGCACCAAGCCAGGGGTGCGAGTCGTCAGCCTGGTCCAGCCCGTTCCTGCCACTCGCACCAAGCCAGGGGTGCGAGTCGTCAGCCTGGTCCAGCCCGTTCCTGCTACTCGCACCAAGCCAGGGGTGCGAGTCGTCAGTCCGGTGAGGCCCGTTCCGGCTCCACGCACCAAGCCAGGGGTGCGCATCGTCAGCCCGGTCCGGCCCGTTGCTGATCCACGCACCAAGCCAGGGGTGCGAGTCGTCAGTCCGGTGAGGCCCGTTCCGGCTCCACGCACCAAGCCAGGGGTGCGTATCGTCAGCCCGGTCCGGCCCGTTGCTGCTCCACGCACCAAGCCAGGGGTGCGAGTCGTCAGTCCGGTGAGGCCCGTTCCGGCTCCATGCACCAAGCCAGGGGTGCGTATCGTCAGCCCGGTCCGGCCCGTTGCTGCTCCACGCACCAAGCCAGGGGTGCGCATCGTCAGCCCGGTCCGGTCCGTTCCTGCCTCACGCACCAAGCCAGGGGTGCGCGTCGTCAGTCCGGCACAACCCGTGCCTGGGTCATCGGTGCCAAATCAGGTACCGCTCAACTGCTCCACAACGGAGCTGAAGCTAGCCGTTCCTGCTACGTTCAGGTCAGCTCCAGCCAGCGGGGCCAGACCGGACCAGTGGCGCTATGGGGGGATTATTGGAGGGTGGTGGGCAAGGCCGGAGCCAGAACCGCCGCCGAGGAGGTATGCCCACCCAGCCCTCCCCTGTTTTGCTCTTATTGAGGCGCGGTCGCAGTCCGCGCCTTTAGGGGGGGGTACTGTCACACCCTGGCTCTGGGACTCTATATGTTGAGCCAGGGTGTGTTCATTCTATGTGTTCTATTTCTATGTTGGGGGTTCTAGGTTGTGTATTTCTATGTTTGCCTTAGTGACTCCCAATCAGAGGCAACGAGTGTCAGCTGTTGGCTGGTTGTCTCTGATTGGGAGCCATATTTAAACTGTCTGTTTTTCACTTTGTGTTTGTGGGTTTTTGTTCCGTGTTCGGTCATTGTCACCGTGGACTTCACGAGTCGTTTGTTGTTTTGTTCGTGCTTTAATTTAATAAATAACCATGTTCGTTCAACACGCTGCGCATTGGTCTACTTCTCTCCCTGACGATCGTGACAGCTGTAACGTAACAAAATGTGGAAAAAGTCAAGGGGTTTTCAGAATGCACTGTATATGAAGCAAATATATATTTACATTTTACATTTTAGTCATTTAGCAGACGCTCTTATCCAGAGCGACTTACAGTTAGTGAGTGCATACATTTTTTCATATATATATGCTTTATATATGTTATACATAGGCCTAAATCCTAATGAATATTTATGGTTTTCTCGCAAAATGGAAGTAACTAAATACTAGCTTTTCTAGAGAGACATGTAGGTTGCATCATTTTATGGATAGTATTCATTATGCTCTCTAGCAGTTATGTCATATTTTGTGTTTATATGTGTAATACATGCACTGTGATTAATTTATGAATAAGTTTGGCTACATTAAGAAGTTAATGGAAATAATTACCAAAATATCCTTTTGAACTAAATACAATGTGTGTAATGCGTGCATAAAGCACAAAGGGCCCCTATCCCCACCTCAATGAATTGACTAATTGTAGCATACAGTAAACACGTGAAGGCATTTTGTGTAATTTACATACCCGTTCTAGAGGTGGGTGTATCATCATCACCGTCCCAAGGCGAACTCATGTGCAATTGTTTAGCAGGAAGTTGATGTCAGTCTGAACATTGCTGTCAGAACACGGAGTTGTAGATTTTATCCACTAAAGGTTAGTCTACTTCTTTAAACGAATTGTCATTATTATTGGTCTTTTGTACAATTTTCTGTCGCATATCCTAAAATAGCCTATAATAGCCTAATATTTCTATATTGAACACTTTTGGAAGAAGTGAAGTTAAAAGGCTACAGAAGTGAAGACTACTGATTTGATACACAGAGTACATTATACAGTCTTGAGATAGATTGAACTTCTGTAGCCTTTTAAAAGTGACATGTACTGAGAGATGAGTGTCACTCACTCTGACTGCAGTCAATGTAAGCCATACTGTGAGTCCAATTCTATTTTGCATGTAGTTTCCTCAAGATACATTATTTATGTTAAATAAAATATATTTACATTTACATTTAAGTCATTTAGCAGACGCTCTTATCCAGAGCGACTTACAAATTGGTGCATTCAACTTAGGATAGCCAGTGGGACAACCACTCCTTCTTTTATTTTTTTATTTTTTATGGGGTGGTGGGGGAGGGAGGGAGGGAGGGAGGGGGTAGAAGGATTACTGTTATACTATTCCAGGTATTCCTTAAAGAGGTAGGGTTTCAAGTGTCTCCGGAAGGTGGTCAGTGAATCCGCTGTCCTGGCATCGTGGGGGAGCTTGTTCCACCATTGGGGTGCCAGAGCAGCGAATAGTTTGACTGGGCTGAGCGGGAACTATGCTTCCGTAGAGGTAGGGGGGCTAGCAGGCCATATATCACATTGACATTGCAATGTTGCTCTGGTGTCATAGGATCTGCATTTGATACTGGCTACAAGACATCTCAAAGTTTGAGTCAACTGGAAAACTATATTCTACTTGACATCAACTTGCATCATTAATGATTGAATATTAAGAATTTGGGATATTACTGTGAACTCATTATCTATAGCCTTTATAGCCTAGTATCTATTGTTTATTGAATAGTCAATAAGGTAGTGGAATTGCAATTGTGACACATTGAAAATAGTTTTCTCTGCTAAGGATTACTAACATGTCCCCTATGTCTGTGTCCAGATGAGTTCCACAGATACCAACGCTGAGAGCGACGGCCCCATCCCCAAGGGGGCCAGACTGAGCCGAGACGTCCCAAACCTGGACACCATCCCCCCATTCACCCTCAGTAAGGTACACCTGCTGCCTCCACGGGACGTCCCATAGAGACACACATAACCTCTGACCTTTCTCCTCTTATACCAGACCTGGGTTCAGAGACATGTATTTGAGTATTTGTTATTTAAATACTCATTTTCTGTGTATTTGAGTATTTTCTAATAATGTGGCCCGTATCAACTACTTCTATTGGAATATAATAATTTCCTATAAATGGCCTACTATTTGAAAGTATTTTCAAACACTTATTTCAAATAATATTTTCAAATACCTGGGAGTGTATTTGAGTCAGTGTATTTTTGTATTTTCAAATACTTTCCAATTGTATTTCCAAATACATTCCAATATTAAACTACTTGTTTTTTCAAATAAAAAATATCTAAATGCTTACTTCCGAATGTCTTTGAAAGTAATTGAAATACCCTAAATAGTATTTGAACCCAGGTCTGTCTTATGCACAGTAGACAAGACTTCTTTGAGTGTGCTCTCTCTAAAGTCTCAAGGCACCTGTATTGATATCTCATAGTTTGAACAAAATCACATTCCTCTTTGTTTATCTGGGTCTAGTAGCTAGTCCCCTCACGACGTAACCCATAATAATGCCACATCGCTTTTGTCCACATTTTGAAAAGGTGTGTGGGAACACTGATTAAGTACAAGAGGATAATGTATGTGATGTGTGACGTGTGTGTCTGTTCTGGTTTGGCGTCTCTCTCCTGGCTTTGTTTATGTGTTTTATCTAATCAGTGGCATCTTTCTTGATGTTATGATTCCACTGTACAGTAGGTGTTTGTGAAATATGCAATCATATTTCTTAATGTCGTTGCAATTATAGTGCTATCAAGTCTAAACCCATCAAATAATCAAAATGATCCACATTGTCATAGTCATGGAGGAACTGAGGCTGCATGCAGAGACAGGAGACACTGATCTATCTGCATGATCTCCACCTCAGCCCTGCTGACCCCAGCCAAGGCATATTTCACAACAGCCTAAAACTGAGCCTGAGCGAGAGAGAGGGGCAGGGGGGGAGTGAAAGAGAGGAAGGCCCCAAACATTTAAGGAAGAAGAAAAGAGAAGCATGTAGAGGTGCAATTGTGTCTGATATCTCCAGAGATCTATAATGTGTTAATGACAGACTGTGTTCGACCCAAACAATACCAGCTTTCTTCCTGTGGAATGGAATGTTTCCTATTTTCTGGTTCAGGTTATACCCCCGTTGACTGATAAAGTCAGACATTAGTCAGTGCTGAAAGCTGTCAAGGACATCACATTTATAATTTTTATTTTACCTTTATTTATCCAGGTTAGTCTCGTTGAGATCAAATCTCTTTTTCTCAAGAGAGCACTGAATTAACCTGGGTAAATAAAATGGCCCACCTGGATGAATTAAGATGTTCATTTATTGTAAATATAGTGCACTTATTTTTCCAGTAATTACGTTAAAAAATATATATAGTTTTATTGTCACATACACCGGATAGGTACAGTGAAATGTGTTGTTTTACAGGGTCAGCCATAGTAGTACGGCACCTCTGGAGAAAATGTGGTTTAAGTGCCTTGCTCACGGGCACATCAACCGATTGTTTTGTTCACCTTGTCAGCTCGGGTATTCAAACAAGTGACCTTTCAGTTACTGGCCCAATGCTCTAACCGCTAGGCTACCTGCCGTACTCTGGTTTCTCCAGATAATATATCTGTGTCATCATAATCGGCTTTACAACATTTATTTAAGATTACAGTACAACATTTCATGAAGGGAACTTAAAAGTAGGACTAAATCGTCTTGTGAATCATCCAGTAAAGTTAACATGATAAATTCCTTCAACTGGAGATGGAATATTACAGACAGAGAATTGCTATGTTGTGGACAGTTTATGGACATTGCCACCTTGTGGGGAAACCTGCCTTTCTTCATGCTGGCTGTATTGGTCATCTTGATTTACAGGCCATAATGTCGCTGGTTATGGGGAGTATCTTTACTATAGACTACATTGACAATGCTATCCTTCCCCTGAAATGGAAATATCCATTAGGGTTGGGGTAAATTCCATTTAAATATTAGTCAATTCAGAAAGTAAACTGAAATTCTAATTCCTATTTTTGTTTAAAACTTTCTGAATTTAAATGGAATTGACCCCTGATATCAATCCCTCTCATAGGTAGAAGAGTGTCTTCAGCCTTTCCGTCTCTCTGTGGAGAAGCTGCAGGACATGTCGTCTCGCCTGAGAAAGGACCTGATCAGAGGGCTAGGCAAACACACACACTGCCGGGCACCCGTCAAGATGCTGCCCACCTTTGTGAGGGCAACACCTGATGGGAGAGGTACAGTACTGTACTCTGTATTCCTTAAAGACTCTCCATAGTATGCACCAGTGATCTAGGGTATGGCCCTTTGTTGAGGCCTGTACTTTAGTAACCTAATTCAGTAAACTGTAGGTATACCACCCACCAGACAGCCTCTCACCTGGACTGAGGTGCCCAGTCTGAAATGAACCTATAGCCCCCAACAACCCCAACACACTTCTTCATGTCCTCCTGCACTGTAGATATGATGGATGGTTGATCATTGATTTTGGACTGAGCAAATTGTCAGACAGTAACCTTTTCCTTGAATTGATTGGTCCCCACAGAGAAGGGGGACTTCCTGGCTCTGGACCTGGGCGGGACTAACTTCCGGGTGCTGCATGTCCGCGTGGTGGAGGAGATGCAGAAGCTGCTGAAGATGAACAGTAAGATCTGTGCCATCCCCCAGGAGATCATGATGGGGACGGGAGAACAGGTGTGTGAGTGTTTGGGATTTACATGTTTGTACAGCTGACCTCATCCCACCCCTCCCATGGGGCGGTCATTCTCTAACCCCAGGTGGGAACAGTGCCTGTAAATCCCTGTGTTGTTACAATTTCTTACTTTATAAACATAGACTTTCAATGGTTCATTAAATTTAACTACAACTACAAATATTGGACATTGGCTGGGAAACCGGCTGCCTGTCAGCCACAAAATCCCACTTAAACTGAGAATTTAACATGGACATACTTAATTTTACTGTACTTTATGATGATTTAAGAGTAACCTTGTTTGATAAAATGCAACAACAGAAACCAGAACTATTCTGGATTAGTGATTAAGAAAAGCTGGAACGCTATTCATTAAATAAGGGTTCCTGGTTGCAAATGTTATTTCCAAATCTTGGAAGATGCGTCAAGAGAAGTTGTATAATTGAGAGGTTTTTGTTTTGTGTTTCAATTGTTTTTCATATCACTAGGAATACAAATATACTGTATATGTACGTATGTATGTATGTATGTATTTACGTGTGTACAAACTGTATATATATAAACATAATCATTTATTTGGCTACAGCAAATACAGTGTCTTATAAGCCAATGTGGGCTGGGCATCCTGAAGATGCATGACACTATAATAAAATAAATCAAATCAAATCATACTCAAGGGAATACATATGGGTGACTCTGCTGTGACTTTGCCAGGTCTCCTCAGGTTTTGACGGATGAAAGCCATGCTCAGTTTCTAGAGAAAACCTTACGTTTGAAAAGCCGCCAACCTTGCTCAATTAATTAAAACCGAACAGCACCTATTGACAGGATGAATCAGTATCCTTTACCAAGCACCCAAGATATTTGACATCAATATTACGATATTAAATAACAGTAATGCCACTGTGAGATTTTGACTCATTGAGATTTCTCTCTTTCTATCTCCAGTTGTTTGACCACATCGCTGCATGCCTGGCTGAGTTCCTGGAGTCTCTTGAGCTGAAGGGTCAGACTCTGCCTCTGGGCTTCACCTTCTCCTTCCCCTGCGAGCAGAAAGATATCGACAAGGTCAGTCACACTGCCCCAGAGACACACATACAAAAATTATCAATTCAAAAAGGAGAAATCTGCATGCTTCAACACAGCAATTAAAACATAAACTAGGGGAGGCATCTCATTCAGTCAGGACTGATATGAGTAGGACATTTTTAGACCCGGTCCCCAGTGGAAAGACAATTGAGTAGCATCAAACAATTCATTCAAGGATAGTTTTGTTGTGGTGGTCTATTCCAATTTTAATTGTGTAACACACTGTGTGAGAATACTGTTGTTAATGTGACCTGAACTTCCAGAGTATCCTGATCCATTGGACCAAAGGCTTTAACTGTTCAGGAGTGGTAGGAGAGGACGTTGTGAGGTTACTGAGAGAAGCCATCCACAGGAGAGGGGTGAGTCTATTGGCCTCCTTGAACCATACAACTATCATCATTTTTGCAAGATACAACTATCGGCACTTCTCCCCAAAAATGTTTTTACTAAATGAAAAATGTTGAATGTTATTATTACATATTATATAGTTCATATTGGTACACAAATGTGCAGTTTACAGAGAAGTACCTGTAACCTTTGCTTGAAGTGGTAACCTCAAACTTCCCTCTCTCTCTCTCTCTCTCTCTCTCTCTCTCTCTCTCTCTCTCTCTCTCTCTCTCCCCTAGGATTATGACATTGGTTCCATTGCTATGGTGAATGACACGGTGGGGACCATGATGAGCTGTGGATACAGGGACCAGAGCTGTGAAATTGGCATGATCATTGGTAGGTAGCACCTAACTGTACTGCAGCCACACTACTGCAACCATAGAATTACAGAAAATAACACAAATAAAAGCATAATATAAGATGTGTCCCATTTAGCCTAGCAAGTGAAGGAGAGGGTGAATGTAGTAACCATATATAACAGTAATAGTATCATGTTATTACAAAACCACATGCATGTAAGTTGTTAGAGATGTCAAGGATAACCATGGAGAGTCATATCTTGAAACACATCATGTAGTTTCTAGCACTTTCACACTGCAATGGCTCCCTCTGCTGGAGATGATGACAACATGGTTTTGTGTGCGTGCATGTGAGCATGTGTGTGCATGGGTTTACACGTGTTTCTGTCTAACATTGTCTTTGCCTCCCCAGGGACGGGGACAAATGCATGTTATATGGAGGAGATCAAAAATGTGAAGAGAGTAGAGGGGGAAGACGGACGCATGTGCATCAACACAGAGTGGGGGGGATTTGGAGATGACGGATCCCTAAAGGACATCCAGACTGAGTTTGACCTGGTGGTGGATCGAGACTCACTCAACCCAGGCATGCATGTGTATGTGTTTTTAATTAAGGAGCAGTAGAAAGTACATAGTTAAAGTACATAAAAATACAGCTATGACTGTAACTTCTATGCTTGGCTCTCTTGACTTTACACCCTTTATCGACTCTCTGTTGTATACTTGTTGTACACATGACTCTCTGTTGTTTGTCCATGTCTGTGTGTCTGTCTATGTGTCTGTCTGTATCCAGGTTTGAAAAGATGATCAGTGGGATGTACCTGGGAGAGATAGCCAGGCTGGTGGTGGTGAAGCTGGCTCGGGACAAGCTACTGTTTGGAGGAGATCTATCAGAGGCCTTGCTCACCCAGAACAGCTTTGAGACCAGATTAATCTCCGAGATAGAGGAGTGAGTGACTGACACACCATGCTCTTATGTGTCATATATCTACTTACACAGATCCTAAATATAGCAGTTATTTTTTAAATATCAATGTGCTACATAATACAGAAGCTTCCATTGTGTAGCATTGAGAAAAATTAGCTGTCTTTACAACTATATTATACCATTTACCATCAATAGGCTTTCTCAGTCAGTTTAATCCTTTACAACCTATCTATTTGAAATCAATTTATGTCACTTGTATCAGCTTGCATTCATACCAAAGTATATTGATGGATGACTCAACTGATGAGTGCTGCTTGTCTCAGGGAGAACACAGGACTGCAGAAGGCCCAGGAGATTCTGTCAGAGCTGGACCTGCCTGCCGGGCCTGTGGACTGTCAGATTGTGCGTCTGGTGTGCGACTCTCTGTCCACACGCTCGGCCCAGTTGTGTGCCGCTGCCTTGGCAACCATTGCCAACCGTATCCGTGTCAACCGTGGACTGGACCATCTAGACACCACAGTGGGGGTGGACGGCACAGTATACAAGAAACACCCCAAGTATGTTCACCTCAGATAGAAATTGAATGACATTTTTCACAGGCTTATTTCAGTTTAAGTGGAAAGATACAGACAAATCCCGCTTTTTATATTCTTGTCACTTGATTGAATGGAGAATATCCTCTTGTGCTGCCACAATAGATGTGTGGATTTCCTGCCTTTGTTTCCTCAGCATATTCACGAATGGCTGAATCTCAATAATATCTCGGTCTTACCACTATCCTCCCTTCCTAAAGTGAATTATATTCCTCTCTCAACCTTAACCCTGCCTTTCCACTCTCTCTGTCTAAATGCAGGAATTTCACATGATGGAAGTATTTCATGGAATAAGCTATTTAGTGTCCAGGGAGATTGTATCCCTCGTATTCACTCCTTTGAACTGTCAGGACCTATGTCAGTATCAGGTGTGCAGGTAACCATACATTGATTTGACTATCCCCCCTGTCTCTCTCAACACGGTCCCTGCTTCCTTTCCTCCCCTCCCCGCTTCTCCCCTCCAGCTTCAGTGAGAAGCTCCAGGAGACGGTACGCATCCTGGCCCCCAAGTGTGACATCACTTTCCTCGTCTCCGACGACGGCAGCGGGAAGGGAGCTGCCATGGTAACGGCGGTGGCACAGAGGCTGGCCATGCAGTCCCGGATGCTAGAGGACAGCGACGGAGAGGAGGATGAGGAAAAGGAGGAGGATGAAGAGGAGGATGAAAATTAAGCCATGTGTTCGACTAGACAACTTGAAATGCAGCACCATGAAAATGTCCCCCTCAAATGCTTTTGTCATAGACAAAGATTGTAAGATAGGGGAACTGGGGAACAAAGTAGGAAATAGGCTACTTTTAGTCTTTTGCTTATTTGTGGAAATATTATTTGAGTTATATTTATAATATTTTTATACAAAAAGTCAATTTGGAAAGTATTCAGACTCCTTCACTTTTTCCAAATGTTGTTATGTTGCAGCCTCATTCTAAAATGGATTCAATTGTTGTTGTTTTTCATCAATATACACACAATACCCCATAATGACAAAGCAAAAACTGGTTTTTAGAAATGTTTGCAAATTTATTAAAACAAAAAAACGGAGATATCACATTTACATCAGTATTCAGACCCTTTACTCAGTACTTTGTTGAAGCACCCTTGGCAGCGATTAAAGCCTCTGTCTTCTTGGTTATGACACTACAAGCTTGGCACACCTGTATTTGGGGAGTTTCTCCCATTCTTCTCTGCAGATCCTCTCAAGCTCTGTCAGGTTGGATGGAAAGCGTCGCTGCACAGCTATTTTCAGGTCTCTCCAGAGATGTTCGATCGGGTTCAAGTCTGGGCTCTGGCAGGGCCACTCAAGGACATTCAGAGACTTGCGTTGTCTTGGCTGTGTGCTTAGGGTTGTTGTCCTGTTGGAAGGTGAAACTTCGCCCCAGTCTGAGGTCTTGAGTGCTCTGGAGAAGGTTTTCATCAAGGATCTCTCTGTACTTTGCTCCGTTCATGTTTCCCTCGATCCTGACTAGTCTCCCAGTCCCTGCCACAGCATGATGCTGCCACCACCATGCTTCACCGTAGGGATGGTATTGGCCAGGTGATGAGCGGTGCCTGGTTTCCTCCAGACGTGACGCTTGGCATTCAGGCGAAATAGTTCAATCTTGGTTTCATCAGACCAGAGAATCTTGTTTCTCATGGTCTGAGAGTCCTTTAGGTGCCTTTTGGCAATCTCCAAGCGGGTGATTTGCAAAAATGTCTACAAACCTGTTTTTGCTTTGTCATTATGGGGTATAGTGTGTAGATTGAGGAAAATTGGTTTATTTAATCCATTTTAGAATAAGGCTGTAAAGTAACAATGTGGAAAAAGTCAAGGGGTCTGAATACTTTCCAAATACACTGTACATATCTCCGCTACCATTACACACTGTAACTACATTTCTAGGACATACCAGTCATTTACAATTCAACCGAAAGTGGCTGAAGACGGGGTTAATTGTAGCAGGCTGTGGGGTTAAATTGAACACTGTCTTCAATGCTAAAAAAATGAGGGGTAATTGAAAAACATTCTGATTTGAAACTGATATTTGGATGAAAATACACTAAATTTACAAAATATATGATAATTTGATCTTTTAGGCACGTCATAGGCTATTTATCAAAAGCTGAGTAGCCAAAATTAATATAGCCTATTTTATATAAGATACTTTTAGCATTCAAACGTATTAATTTGACTTTTCTTTTTCATTAAGAAGAGTATTGTGAGAAAATACAACTATAATCATTGTCATCAACTATACCAATCAAAAGACCTCTTCTTACTGATAAAACATGATACAGTGAGGAAAAAAAGTATTTGATCCCCTGCTGATTTTGTACGTTTGCCCACTGACAAAGAAATGATCAGTCTATAATTTTAATGGTAGGTTTATTTGAACAGTGAGAGACAGAATAACAACAACAAAAATTCAGAAAAACGCATGTCAACATTTTTATAAATGGATTTGCATTTTATTGAGGGAAATAAGTATTTGACCCCTCTGCATAACATGACTTAGTACTTGGTGGCAAAACCCTTGTTGGCAATCACAGAGGTCAGACGTTTCTTGTAGTTGGCCACCAGGTTTGCACACATCTCAGGAGGGATTTTGTCCCACTCCTCTTTGCAGATCTTCTCCAAGTCATTAAGGTTTCGAGGCTGACGTATGGTAACTCGAACCTTCAGCTCCCTCCACAGATTTTCTATGGGATTAAGGTCTGGATGTGCCTCTTCTTGAGCCACTCCTTTGTTGCCTTGGCCGTGTGTTTTGGGTCATTGTCATGCTGGAATACCCATCCACGACTCATTTTCAATGCCCTGGCTGAGGGAAGGAGGTTCTCACCCAAGATTTGACGGTACATGGCCCCGGCCATCGTCCCTTTGATGCGGTGAAGTTGTCCTGTCCCCTTAGCAGAAAAACACCCCCAAAGCATAATGTTTCCACCTCCATGTTTGACGGTGGGGATGGTGTTCTTAGGGTCATAGGCAGCATTCCTCCTCCTCCAAACACGGTGAGTTGAGTTGATGCCAAAGAGCTCCATTTTGGTCTCATCTGACCACAACACTTTCACCCAGGTCTCCTCTGAATCATTCAGATGTTCATTGGCAAACTTCAGACGGGCCTGTATATGTGCTTTCTTGAGCAGGGGGACCTTGCGGGCGCTGCAGGATTTCAGTCCTTCACGGCGTAGTGTGTTACCAATTGTTTTCTTGGTGACTATGGTCCCAGCTGCCTTGAGATCATTGACAAGATCCTCCCGTGTAGTTCTGGGCTGATTCCTCACCGTTCTCATGATCATTGCAACTCCACGAGGTGAGATCTTGCATGGAGACCCAGGCCGAGGGAGATTGACAGTTCTTTTGTGTTTCTTCCATTTGCGAATAATCGCGAATAATCGCACCAACTGTTGTCACCTTCTCACCAAGCTGCTTGGTGATGGTCTTGTAGCCCATTCCAGCCTTGTGTAGGTCTACAGTCTTGTCCCTGACATCCTTGGAGAGCTCTTTGGTCTTGGCCATGGTGGAGTTTGGAATCTGATTGATTGATTGCTTCTGTGGACAGGTGTCTTTTATACAGGTAACAAACTGAGATTAGGAGCACTCCCTTTAAGAGTGTGCTCCTAATCTCAGCTCGTTACCTGTATAAAAGTATAAAAGACACCTGGGAGCCAGAAATCTTTCTGATTGAGAGGGGGTCAAATACTTATTTCCCTCATTAAAATGGAAATCAATTTATAACATTTTGTACATGCGTTTTTCTGGATTTTGTTGTTGTTATTCTGTCTCTCACTGTTCAAATAAACCTACCATTAAAATTATAGACTGATCATTTCTTTGTCAGTGGGCAAACATACAAAATAAGCAGGGGATCAAATACTTTTTTCCCTCACTGTATATGATGAGATACATGGGGAGTGTTCCACAGGTCAATAATCAATAAAGATAATATTTCGAATTCGGCCAGACATTTTTTTGGGGGTCAATAAAACAAAAAATTATTAATGGATTTAAGCAAAACTTCCTAGGCATGTAGATACACTAACCAAACATTAGCACATTGAATAACAGCTTTCTAAGTGGTTTCTAATTTGAATGATTTAGTTGTTACTTTGTGACCTAACACTTGCACTTGACTTGTTTCCCCCTTACTAGCTCTGACTTTGCTGATAGCTACTTTATTGAGGGAAAATGTACTTACTATGACTGTGATATGTGGTTGTCCCACCTAGCTATCTTTAGTTGAATGCACTAACTGTAAGTCACTCTGAATAAGAGCCTACATGCTAAACACCTCACTCACTTTCTTGTAACCTACTGAATGGTAACTCAAATAATGAAATCATGAATTCATTCAACCTACTGTATGCATGCATGACTGTAAGTCGCTTTGGATAAACGCGTCTGCTAAATGGCATATATTATTCTTATAAAATTCAACTTCTCTCTTTTTTACAGTATCTTATTTAAAGACAGTTATATTGACAACTGCAAAGCAATCTTGTCTGTATTACATGGTTAACTTTCAGGGAGAAAAGTATATTATGTCCTAACCTGTTGTATGTGAAATTAAAATAATGTTTTTAAAAATGTATTAGTACATATAATTTTATACTAGAGTGAAAACTTTGAATTGGGAATATCTCACTGTATTTATTATATTTAGAGACCAGATACTATAACACTGCAGCCATATTGAAATGGCAAATTGTTCATACAATTAGTATCTTGGAGTACACATTTATGAATTTCATGGTCAAGCCAAATATACGTTCCACAGAATGGAAAGAGACACGTGCTCACTCCCCCTGTCGGAGAAACTAGAGGAACATTAGGTTATTCAATCAAAGTTTTCAGCAAAATAATAAACTATAGAATATTCAGGCACTCCAATTGACAGAACACGTGTTCAGAAAGCTAGGTTGGCCAACCAATTTAAGTGTTGCAAATCAAAGATGGCTAGCATGATACTGATACAATGGTGCAATGTAAGTCGTCGTCGTCCCCCGTCCGTCCGTCCCCCCCCCCCCCCCATTAGGCTAGTAGTTACAACGTTGCACTGCCGAATGTAACAACTATCACGTGTTTGTCTTTGCTCTTTAAAATTTCCCTCACTATAATGTCAATGTACCATGTAAAATACGACTCACGATTAAATGATCACCAACCATTTGTCTCCACGCATGCTCCGTGGTTATAGCCTACCAAAGTATCAGCTCAACAATTTTGATATTACAATGTAACTAAACTTAATTGATGCAATACCATCGTGAAAAATAAAAGAAGGACATTTCTAAACTCGAACAACAATGATTTCAGGATGGTAAAAATGTCCTGACATTAAAAATATCCACTTTCATATTAACAATATGTTATAGCCTACTCTTGCAAACAGCTTTGGCCACACCTAGATCCTGTCCTATTTTCACAAAAAAAGAGAAACCTTTTCTTCTTGTGCATTTGTTTGTGTGCCGGTGAGTTCCTGGCTGTGTAACTTGATAGGGGGCTCTGAGAGGGAATAAGGGAATGTGTTGCTGCAATGGAGCAGAATGCAATACAGGTAAAGCCGACACTCACTTTATATTATTTTGAAATAAATCGTGATTTTCCTATGCGCACGCATGCCACTTTTACCTGTTGATATCGAAAATAAACCGACTGTGTGTCGGTCTCATTTTGATATCAGTTTGCCCGTTTTCAAATCTGTAATTTTGTTTAGAATGTCGAGTTGATTGTTATCCTATCAAGCTAAAAAGACTCGCAATTACAACTTTGCTGGATGAGTCACAACTTTCCAAGGGAGAAAATAGCTCGCTATGATATTTTGAAAGGCCAAAATTCCGCTGACATGATTATAGGGTTTTATTGGTCAGGATTTGCAATTTAATTCAACTTCAATATGTCTATATTTTCTTCCTGTTAATGATTCATTTCTTTGTGTGTCGTGTCGACTACCTACGTTCTCCCTCTCTACCCCCACCCCCACATTTCCACATTAAAGGCAATTTTATCTGACGATTCCGCAATATTAAGAAACTTTTATGCTTGTTTTTCAACTAAATCGATGGTATTGTAACTTAAAATCAAGTTTTGAGTAAATAGAAAATGAATATCTTACATTTACAGTGACGTGATATTAAAGATTAAAATATAATCTAAGGAACTAGGTGGAGCAATTTATTTATCGAACAAATGGCCAACATATGGATATAAAAAATCCCTAACATTATCTATCGTGTTTATTTGGTATAGCTCAAAATGGAATGTTAATATTGTGAGGAAATCGCTGTACTTTGTACTTGAAATTGCGAGGATTATCTTGATTGTACATACCAGGCCCACCAAAAATTTATGTCGAATATTAGGACTTCAATAACAGTAGGCCTATATTGGTTTTATATTTAATATCAGAAATGTTAAACATATATAGGCTATACTGCATTCATAATGATATTTAAATTGTAGCCTATACAGTAAGCATAGGTTTCTCAAAGTTATGGTGGATATTATATGTTCCTCCTGTTCCAATGATCAAATGTCTTGATGTAGGCCTACTTTTCTACTCTTTGTAATGTTGCGTAAACAATGTTTTGTATAATAGGATATCCAAGGTCACATAATGTTATTTTGCAGAAAGAACACATTTTCAATTCGTTGCTCTCTTTCTGGAACAGCAGTGCAGGCTATATCAAAAGCCATCACGAGCATTGACGTATTCTATCTGTAGGTTAGGTTTTTTTATTTCAAAATCCTCTCTCAAAATTGAAAAAACAGTTTTATGTGGCTTTAGGATTTACTGTAGAATCAGCCTTGCCTCGTTTTCACCACTAGTTGGCCAAGTGATCAACGTGTGCACGCACAGCCCTGTTCCTACTACATTGGAAGGGGGGTAGGGGACTGGGTTGCCGACAATAGGTGGTGGGTAGGAGGGGTGCGAATTTGAGAATTTTCCGCATTTAGGCAGCTATAATAGGCCTACAGGGGTGTTACTTTTAGAAGATACTGAACATAGATAATGGATTGATTAATTATATATTTTTTGATTAGGCCTTATGAGTTTGTAAAGGTCTATATGAATTAAAATAGCCTATTACAACACATTTCATCATAGTTTTGATTGATCACAAAACAAGTATTTTATGTTGGATATCCAATTGTATCCTTTTATTTTTATAACCCTTTCACAGCTATGGAAATATGCATACAGTCACATCATGCTGTCTATGAATAAGGGTTGCCTACTAAGTAGATTAATACTTTGGAATGGGTATTGGTGCATGGTAACGCTAGAGTGGAGAGAAGAGCTCTCTGTATTTGGCCTAATTCAGATGATTGAAAGCCATTGTAATTTAGTGAAAATGGCTGTCCTTTGTGGCCGCTAGCAGCGAGGTCACTCTCTAATAGAGAGCCATAGATTGAGCAGAACAACATACGCATGAACTAATGTTGATAAATGGGGAGGAATGCAGGCCTTTGCCAGGAACATTGGGTGGAATCTGAAAGTTTATGCTCATGGCCCAAATGGATAATTTGTGTCATGTGAAGGAGTGTTTCTGTGTGCGAGTTGTTTGACATTCAAATTGTACACATGGAAGGGATGACATCTATTTGTTTAATTCATACGTTGAGGTTTGCAATTTAAATGAAGCTTCGCTTGTCTAGATTACGGACATTTGTGATGGGCACAATAGTTAGTAGTACTATTAGTTGTACTGGGTGATTCCTCACGAAACTATAACAAAAGAACACCATGATTTCTGGGATTTTCACGAAATGTAATCCATAGAAGGGTCCTTTGGATGAACGATTATTGACATATATTATTGACATATTTGACATTTGTATCTTCAAGCATAATTGAAAAATAATTAGTTGGAATATTTGTGACATTTTGGCCTTACCCAGGCCTCCTTTAAGACTCAAATTGGCCTCATATGAAGCTTTACCGCTTGCTCTTTAATGTGAGTAGTATTTTGATTTCAATAAAAAGGTTCATACATCAATTTATGAATATGGAGAAGGAAAAAAATAAATATGTATTTATATTTACGGGCATTTCAAAGTTCCAGAGTTGGATCTCAGATACTTTTAGAGTTAGGATCCAATTTGTAACCATTACCACCAGTGAATGTGAAACTATATTCAAAATGGTCGCCCTCTGCTGGTGATTTGCAGGATGTACAATGATACAAGTAGGAGGGCTGTGATTGGTTACATTGCCTGTTTGACAATATCATTAAAAAAAAATAGCCACTTTTTATATTTTCAGTATTAATGTTTATATTTAGAAATCAAAATACTACTCATATTACTGAGCAAGCTGTAAAGCTACAGGAGGCTTAAAGGCAAAATGTCCCAAATGTTTGAACTTCAATTAATTATTCCGCAATTATGCTTGAAGATGCAAATGTCAAATATGTCAACAATCCTTCCTCCAAAGGACCCTTCTATTGATTTACATTTTGTGAAAATACCAAAAATCATGGTCTTGTTTTGTGTTGAATCACCCTACTATTCAAATGGTATATTATTTTCTGTTTAAAGGAAGTTGATTTATATATCAGTTGTCAGGAGCTTAGTACTTAACATTCTGAACTAAATTCTTAACAATTTGAATAAGAGATGTGGAGCTTTCCAAGTCATAGTCACAGCATTATTGCTCCCAGTATAATTGCGGTATAAATTATGAGTACACATGGTTTTGTCGTTTGTTAAACTAATCTTTAATAGAGTTGTATTCATACCCTTGTACAATTTAGGAAACTTAAATGGACATCAAAATGAAAATCAAATAGGGAACAAGGCTCCATTTACATTATGGGCCGAGGTTGATTCAGATTACATGCCCTGTCATTGAACAGACGGGAATGGTTGAATGACTCTGACCTCTCTGTCGCTCACATTCACACTCACTCACTCAGTGGTTAGGTGCTCCCTCCTGCCTGCGCGGCTCTTTTGCCTTCTATAAGTCAGTGAGCTGTGGGGCCGGGGCCGGAGCCGCTGCTCAGGTCTGGAAACTGGGGGAGTTCTACTATGTCCGCTGTGGCCCCGAGGAACCTGTGGGCATCGCTGAGGTATGAATTCTTATCGCTGTGTTAGTTTGCGCATGACACTTGCCATACCAGGGGTGTATTCAGGGTGGTGACTGTGCAGAACATTGCAGATGGATACTCAAAATCTGTTTTTCCCTAAGGGTTTCTACCAGATTTGGAACATTCTGTAACATTGCACCCTCGTGAACAGGCCCCAGAGTTTTGGGATTAATTCCTTCCTGTGCCACTGTACTGATTATGTATTTATTGTAAGTCGCTCTGGATAAAAGCATCTTCTAAATAACTATGTATTTCTTATTTCAGGTGATGTTACTGTGGGAGGACCAGGCCCAGCACCATCTGCTAGCCAGCTCCAGACTCTACTTCCTCCCTGAGGATACTCCCAAGGGCAGAACCAGAGAGCATGGAGAGGTGAGAAGAGGTGTGGGGGGCACTGAGCTTGATCGTTTTTTATAATGTAGGAGTGTTCAAAACGAAGCTATAAAATGTTAAAACTATGTACATTTTAAAGTCTACATTACTGTAAACACTGAGTGTGAGTGTCATACTCTCTGTTCGACCAAGAATCGCACAAAATGACAGGCCATGTGTAATTGCTAGACTAGTATGTCATACACAGCATAACTCATGAAAGGACATACTGCAATGTGCAAGATCATTTCTTCCATAGTCAAAATTTGGCTTGGGTTTATGTAATAATGGATTGTGTGGGCCTGACTTTTAGCCTACTTGTTTAACCACAAGTGTTTCACAATCTCAATTTACAAATGGTTGCCCAATAACTAACTATAAACAGGAATCATTAGATTGATGTGTCACTTCTCCCCTCCTTATTCAAGTGAATTTTTTTTAATTAACTTGCACAATTCATGTTTAATTAAATGCATTTTTACTAAAGTCTGTTCTTCATACCCAACATTTTAAAAGTGCATAAGTATGGCAAAGAGTAGTTATACTTCTATTTTATATTTTTTACCTATTCCATTCCAAGTTATTTTTGCTGTGATCTTGAATCCCAGGTTTTCCAAAGTCTCCTATTTCACTACAGTGCTATGCTAATCATAGTGAAAGATATAATCTTTAGAGGGGAGTCATGGTAAAAAAATACCTGTTCCAGTTTTGTTGTTCATGTAGTCACCTATAGTTGGAGGTGGAATGTGAGATAGGCCAGCTTGCTTCTATCAGTGGTATAGGTGTGTAGGGTTGTCAGTGCCTGAGGCAGAAGTGCTGTGGATCATTGTCACTGGTGGCAAACGGGTCTGGGAGGCGTAGGAGGGCTCTGATGGCTCCTCATGTGCCACAGGCCATTGTACTCTGACTGGGGGAACTTAATCTGGTCCTATGTGGTGAAGAACCGTAAACCAACCACATTCTCTGTGTCCCCTAAATAAATGGGTTAGGGTTAGTAGGGTTACTAATTTAGTAAAGATCAAGGGAATTTCTTCACAGCAATGTGTTTTACATTAAAGCCACATTCTGTAATTTGTTCAGTGATTTAAAAATAATTATATTGCATGTTTTTGCATGTGGAAATGTCATGGGATGCATTTCCTTGATTCTTAAAAAAATTATTATTGGTGGCACTTTCTTTGAGGAGGGAATGCACAAATAAAGTAGTATGGCTTTTAAATGGTGATCTAAGTGTGTGTGTGTCCCTCAGGATGAGGTGTTGGCTGTCTCTAAGAAGATAGTGGTGCGGGTGGATGATCTGGTGAGGTGGACATGTCCGGAACCTCAAGGGTGGAAAGGAGGCAGCCAGAAGTCCAGCAGGACCAACGGTCATCACAAAGCTACCCCTATCATTACCAATGGAGACCCAACACCACACAAAGAGAAGGCTGATAGTGAGTGTCTAGGGGTCAAGGTACTCAGCTACCCCCAGTACTGCCGCTTCCGGTCCCTGCAGAGGCGCATCCAGGACGAGGACGAGGTAGGGTTGGGACTCCAAAACCCCCATCTGCTGGCCCTGGGGGGGATCAGGGTGGGCCAACACAACACCCGGGTCCTCTACTGCAGGGACACCTTCAACCACCCCACCCTGGACAGCAACGCCAGTGTCTGGACACAGCTGGGTGAGCGGCAGGCTGGGGGAACTTGATCTCTCTATTGATGTGGCCATTGGCCGAAGTGATTATATTTATTTACCCTAATTAGGCAATGGAATCAAAAATGTGTGGACAATACATTTAAATGAATTAATGCAACCTTAAACTATTATCATATTGACTCATTTACTGTATGTTGTGGTTATCTTGTAGTGAACACAGAATGTGCTGAAATTATGGGATCCTAAAACAATGTTATTTTGTACTTAGTTCAATGTTTTTTGAGAGGCGAATGATTATCTTGTTATTTTGAATTAGGATTAAATGCATCTCTCTCGTTCCCAGGATGCACCTCTCTTAGCTTGAAGGGGCGACCCCGCAAGAGAAGAGGCAGGCCAGAAGGCCAGAAAGCTGTGGAGCCACCAGCCATCAACCAATCAGAGTCCTGGATAGAAAGAATGAAGGTACACTTTGTTTTGTTCTATAAACTGTTATATGGCTACATAACTTCTTCCAGTTACTTTCAGATGTCTTATTATTCACCTCATATTCACTTAGAAATTACTTAATATAGTAATTACCTTTAGGCTTCTTTGTTATGAAATGCATCACAAAACACTATTTATGCCAAGTAGTTACTATTCTTAGAAGTTAAAATTCCACATAATTTCCTAATAGACACCAACTGGAATGGGACTGTACAGCGTTACCAGATGTAGTATGGTTATAACATTATGTATCCTGTAGGAGAATGTAATGGGCAGTGTGGAGATGCACTGTGAGGGGGGCTGTCTCCCCCACCCTGATGAGCAGCTGTTCCTGGATCAACTCTACTGCTACATGGAGCGCCGCGGCTCACCCATCAGCAAGGTGCCCAACCTCGGCTTCAAGAAGAGTGAGTTGCTCACTGATGACGTCATCAACCACCATTAATACTCCTACCAAAGGCTTTGAATACAAAGGGTCCTTTGCTGTACTTTCAGTTTGATTTGATGAGTTATCCCTACGGAACAAAATAAAATGTTCCCACCATGTGGTTATGTATTTGAACAAGCTGTATATCTGTCAGTGTTGTAAACCAGACAGTCAAGGCCACAGCTCCTAGGACCTATGGTATGCTTTAACACTCTTATCTGTCTCCGTGTCGACAGTTGACCTGTTCGTCATGTACTCTGTAGTCAAACGGCTGGGCGGCCATGAGAGGGTGAGTAGTGAAGGCCATCATTCTATATCATCCACATATCTTGTACAATAGTGATACGATTGCTAAATCTAAGCAAATGAGTTAGAACGGTTTATGGAAATAATTGATGGTCTAAAAACTACTTTTAAACCCTTTACAATCTCTCTGCTGTAGGTGACGTCACAGCGTCTGTGGAAGAAAGTGTATAATGAACTAGGAGGATGTCCGGGCAGCACCAGTGCAGCCACCTGCACCAGGAGGCACTATGAGAGGTGAGGCAGGAACACTGCTTGTGCCCAGACCAGTTTACGTTGTGCCCCACCTAAAGCATACATATTCTTCTTGTGACAAAATAAATCCATGTTTATAACTACAGTGCACAATATAACCCAGGCTTCAGCTGTGAGAAACGCTGATTCAGCGGGCTGATACGATTAATAAACAAAGTCAAAATATACTATTTCTCTAGAATGATAGGCTAATGCAGGGGTCTCCAACCTTTTCTAGCATGAGAGCTACTTTTAAAAAATGAAACGTCGCGAGCTACTCTTTTTTTCTAGCTTTCAAATAGGCACATTTTTCATCTCCTCCCCTGCAACTCATCCCTGGGTCCTTAGTGTACAAGAGAAAGTAGTGCACTGTTTCCCAATTTACCTGGTAAAATAATGGTTAATAAACAACTAAGGGGGGCCCTATAAAATCTGTAATTTCTTTCCCAAATTCTGTTTTGCGTTTTCCCAAATCATGTTTTCTCAGTTGTATTTTTCCTGGTTTAGATTTTTGTTTGTCAAAATTACAATTGTCCATAGAGAAACAACAAAATTGATGTTCTGAGTCCATGTCAATGCTTAAATCACATCAGAAGACAATTTTTTTAGGTCTGGAAGAAAACAAACAAATGTTAATTCTTGAGTGTAATTCCCCTTTAATTGCACATCTAGTGAATGAAGAATGTGGCGTCTAATCTGCCTGTCTAGTGATGGTTCTGTACTGCTGCTGCTGATTTCATGGCAAAGTTTGCAAATAATAGATACAAATGGTCCTCTGTAGCTCAGCTGGTAGAGCACGGCGCTTGTAATGCCAAGGTAGTGGGTTCGATACCCAGGACCACCCATACACAAAAATGTATGCACGCATGACTGTAAGTCACTTTGGATAAAAGCGTCTGCTAAATGGCATATTATTATATACTTACTCATAATATACAGTGCATTCGGAAAGTATTCAGACCCCTTGACATTTTCCACATTTTGTTGTGTTACAGCCTTATTCTAAAACGGATTTTAAAAAAACATCTCATCAATCTACACACAATACCCCATAATGACCAAGAATAAAACACATTTTTTGAAATTTGTAAAATAAAATAAACTGAAATAATACATTTTACATAAGTATTCAGACCCTTAACTCAGTAATTTGTTGAAGCACCTTTGGCAGTGATTACAGCCTCAAGTCTTCTTGGGTACAAGCTTGGAACACCTATATTTGGGGAGTTTTTCCCATTCTTCTCTGCAGATCCTCTCAAGCTCTGTCAGGTTGGATGGGGAGCGTCGCTGCACAGCCATTTTCAGGTCTCTCCAGAGATGTTCGATTGGGTTCAAGTCCGGGCTCTAGCTGGGCCACTCAAGGACATTCAGACTTGTCCCGAAGCCACTCCTGCGTTGTCTTGGCTGTGTGCTTAGAGTCGTTGTCCTGTTGGAAGGTGAACCTTCGCCCCAATATGAGGTCCTGAGCGCTCTGGAGCAGGTTTTCATCAAGGATCTCTCCTGTACTTTGCTCCGTTCATCTTTCCCTCGGTCCTGACTAGTCTCCCAGTCCCTGCCACTGGAAAAACATCACCACAGCATGATGCTGCCATCACCATGCTTCACCGTAGGGATGGTATTGGCCAGGTGATGAGCGGTGCCTGGTTTCCTCCAGACGTGACGCTTGGCATTTATGCCAAATAGTTCAATCTTGTTTCTCATGGTCTGAGAGTCCTTTAGGTGCCTTTTGGCAAACTCCAAGCAGGCTGTCATGTGCCTTTTACTGAGGAGTGGTTCTGTCTGGCCAATCTACCATAAAGGCCTGATTGGTGGAGTGCTGCAGAGATGGTTGTCCTTCTGGAAGGTTCTCCCATCTCCACAGAGGAACTCTGGAGCTCTGTCAGAGTGACCATCGGGTTCTTGGGCACCTCCCTGACCAAGGCCCTTCTCCCCCGATTGCTCAGTTTGGCCGGGCGGCCAGCTCTAAGGAGGAGTCTTGCTGTTTCCAAACATCTTATATTTAAGAATGATGGAGGCCACTGTGTTCTTGGGGACCTTCAATGCTGCAGAAATGTTTTGGTACCCTTCCCCAGATCTGTGCCTCGACACAATCCTGTCTCGGAGCTCTATGGACAATTCCTTCAACCTCATGGCTGGGTTTCTGCTCTGACATGCACTGTCAACTGTGGGACGTTATATAGACAGGTGTGTGTGCCTTTCCAAATCATGTCCAATCAATTGAATTTACCACATGCGGACTCCAATGAAGTTGTAGAAACATCTCAAGGATGATCAATGGAAACAGGATGCACCTGAGCTCAATTTCCAGTCTCATAGCAAAGGGTCTGAATACGTTTTTTTTGTGTTTTTTTAAAAGTAAATATGGCAAAATTTCTATAAACCTCTTTTCGCTTTGTCATTATGGGGTATTGTGTGTACATGATGAGGGAAGAAAATGTATTTAATCAATTTTAGAATAAGGCTTTAACGTAACAAAGTCAAGGGGTCTGAATACTTTCTGAATGCACTGTACGTCTGCTCGGTAAGCCTACTTTGCAGTTAACATTTTAATTGAGAAGGTTTCGGGGAAAGTATTTCTGTCATCCTATAAGACGGTTATCATATCAACTGGCTACACACAGAGTGATAGACAAACGCGCGCACCACACAGACAGACGGCAATATTGCTGGAAATTAATTGGCAGATATTGTGTTAGGTTTGGCTTTTTAAGCCAATAGTGGCTAACCAGGGGTGGGATAATGTCAAAGTTGCGTTGAGTAGATAGTAGCTGGGACCTTGCAGTGTCTGATACTTTGTTCATGACAGTTTCCGGTGGAACGTGAAAATTGCTTTTAATTTCAGAATTGTTTGGCTAGGTACTCATAGGTGTGCTGACCCATTAGAGACCCCTGAGCCAATGTGATGTACTGTACCTGATTGAAATCCCTGGCATTTTAGGCTTTTCGGCCTAAAATATATAGGCGTTTCTTTACAAAACGTGTTTTTCATTCTGGAACTTTCGGTTCTCTGCGTTTCCCTCAGGCTGATGCTTCCCTATGAGGAGCACATAAACGGAAGAGGAGCAGAACTCAAACTCCCAGCATCCTCTGGGCCTACCCGGGGCAGGGGCGGGAGGGGGAGGGGGAGGAGACCACTGGTGAAGAAGACTGCAACCCTTACCCTTCCTCCAGTAAGTGTCTGTCTGTTCATCTCTCACTCCACATACAGTTCATCATTGTTGACTTGCTCAGTTCATGTCAGTCATTTGATATTTAATATGCAGTCATCGCTAGTTGTCTTGTCTTGACCTGAATCTGATGTAAATTAATGTATGAATGTATTCTATTACATTATAGAGACTAACATGAGAATCATTCAGAACGTCTAAGTGAATCCTTCCTCATGTATGACATCTCTCTCTCACTAGATTATTTCTCCAGACGGTGTGGTGGTAGTGAAGAGGGGCAGGGGCAGACCTCCAGGCAAAAAGAACCAGGCCAAACCTCTAGCCTCCAAGGCCAGTCCAGTGGTCCTGTCTCCCCCAGCCAAACCCAGCCTGGACCTGGGGGCCCGGCCCCTGCAGGATCCCTCTTTCCAGTCCCTGTCAGTGTTCCAGGGGCTAAACCTGGCCAACATGCCACTAACCCCAGACCTGTCCCCCATGTCTGCACCCTTCCTGCCCCTCCTGCCCAAAATGGAGAGGGAGGTAAAGGTGGAGAACGGGGATAATCTAGCACCATCACCCACTCTGTCTCCTGCAATTCTCCTGTCTGCTCTCCCCAGGCTCCACGCAGGGGGCTCCCTAGGAGGGTTCAGCCCCACTAAAGGCCTCTGTCCCCTGGATCTCTTTAGGAGCCGACTGGGCCTCACTAGCTTGGACAGCCCTGGTCTAAACCCCCAGGACCCTGCCTCCCACCAGCCCTCCAGCCTCCACCTCCAGGCCAAGGCAGGGAGCTCAGATACCCCCCATCCCAATGGGGACCAGTCTCAACAACAGTCCCACCACCAGTGCTCGGGGTGTGGGCTGGACGAGGCAGCACAGAGGGGGGGCAGCAGCAGTATCAGCACCAGGGAGGGCCGGAGCAGCAGGCCTCCCCTGCCCCCTCTCCGGGTCCTCCCCCTGGATCTGGACTGCAGCCTGCAGGTGCGTCAGCTAATGCATACGCGGCTGGGCTTGGCCCAGCTCCACTCCTTCACCAAGCGGCTGTCGGAGGTCTTAGCCCAGGACCTGAGTAGCAAGCCTTGTCTACCTGTCACCCCTCACCCAGAGCAGGCCCTACCGCTCAACCTCAGCAAGCGCTCCACCACCAAAAGATCTGCCTCTGATACTGACTCCAGGATGGCTGCAGGGGATCAGGAAAATGGTGATGCCACACCCTCAGCTAAAAGGCATAGAGTGGAGTCGTGCGAGGAGGCTGAGGACCTGAGCTCACCCAGCAGGGCCAGGGCTTTCCTCCTGGAGCTTCCTTGTCACACCACCAGCCCAGACACCTATTCTCCACATACCCAGCTCTGCCTCACCAAGTCTGGGGAGGGCTCTGGAGACACCTCTCTGGAGAACCAGGGCAGGACGATTGACTCTGAGCCAGTAATCCAGGTAAAGGTGGAAGAGGACAGGAGGGAGAGCAGCTTTGTGGAGGTGGAGCCTGTGGAAGACTGCTCTGTAAGAACAGAACAGGAGACGGTGGAGAAAGAGGGAGAAAATGTAAAGATGCAGGAGGATGGGGAAGAAGAGAAGATGGAGGTTGAAACCGTTAAAATGGAGGATAGTATACAACAGAAATCGGAGAAAGAGGAGGAGGGAGAAAAGGCAGAAGTGGAGGGGAGTAAACTGGAGAGGGTAGAAGAAGAGGGTAAAACCATAAATACGGAGGATGATATATCAGAGAGGGGACTGAGGACTCCTTAGCCCACTCTACCAGTGGCTCTGGGAGCCACAGGTGCAACAGGAGGATGAGGAGATGGAATATAATGTTAAGGCTTCTATCAAAGGGCTGCCCAGTTCTGTCCTGCCTCCAACCCAGGCCCAGCCAAGGTGACTGAACACCTGCACACAACCCCAACAGCCTCATGACCAACACCGACAATCACTCCTCCACTCTACCTTATGGGAGGTTACTCTCAAACATACAATCAAAGACTAATCCTGTGAACTCTGTAACGACACACATACACACACCTTTGAAAACACTGCCATTTGCCTTGAGATGACACTATTCAATTATCTAATTCTATACATTGTATGATACTATGCATAATACAACTTTCAAGCTTAATCTAACTTGAATTATGTAGCTATATTAAAGCTTAACTTGTATTCTACGTCTGTAGAAAATAGTATTATACTTTTTTTCTTACTGTTAAATTAAGTATATTACAAAACAATCAATAGTGCAGAGGTTTTTATAACAATCCACTCCTTTCCTGGGCCCAGTCTTCCAAAAGCATCTTAAGGATAACTTCATTGTTAGATCAAGGATACAAAAAGATGTGCCTTAAATCTCTTGTGCTCTGATTTGTAGTCATTCAGAGTCACACAAAAAGCAACAACCAGGAAAATGTGTTTGTTTGTTTTCCAGTAGTGTCCTTCAGTCCTGCATTTACTTCCTGTTTGTCTCCAACGACGGCAGGATTTGCACACCTACTGTACTGGTTCCCTTTCCTTCCTTTTATGAGGCAGTCACTTACAATATTTATTAATATTTTCCTTTCTGATGCCAATTTAATGTATTTGAATGTGTCTAGTTTAGAAAAAATAATACTGACACCACTGGCCTGGTTAAGGTTAGATCTAGTCGTTGTTGCCTTAATCCGAGTCAATTGATGCCAGTAATTCTCTGACAGATATCTGAAATGCCCTATTTTGTATACGGTAAACTGTGGTGTGCCCAGACCAGATGTACAGTAGCAGTGCAATTCTATTGATTACCAGCACCAAAGATCTTTCTTACTGTATGTTTACCATAAAGAGAGTAAATGTTCTCTGCTGTAAAATATAACTTTTCTAAAACGTACAAAAAATGTTTTCCTGTTTATGTCCTTATTAAATATTTGGTTGAACGATTAGAGCTGGTTGTGGCTCAACCTGTTTCTATTGAGCATCTATCCTCATTGCAGCCTAACCTATTTCTTTGTGTTTAAAAATGTCAGCATACCGTTGAGGTTAACAGTCCACATGCCTGCCATTGGGTGAGAGGGAAAAATGTTCTAGTTGAGCTACACATCATTTTGGTGTGACAAGTTCCTCATTGAGTTGTATAGGTATTTAATGCTTTTACTTAAATAGTTTGTGTAGCTTTTTGATGTTATTATTATTTGAATTATTTAGAGTTTAAGATCAAATGTTTACATTCAATTATGCATGTAGAGCAAACAAATAATATTAAGCTGATTTTGTACCTTTAGTAGTTTGCAGACCATCTGACTGGTACTTTATTAGTTGGTTGAGTTGGTTCACAGTATACCAACTTCTGGAATGGTTAAAATGGGAAAAAGAGTATCTTCATTCAACTATGGTGGACTTTAAATATGGATGGTCACAATTCTTAGAAAATAAGAAATCAGCATATGGAATTGATTTGCAGTTGCCTCAGATCAACTGGCTTTTCTTTCCCCCTTCCTTTCCCTGCTTGTTTTATTACTTGAACACCTGCTACATAGTTAATGTCATGTAGTTATGTTTCTATTTAAATCTGTGTATCAGTTGAGCTCATCTTGTTCATGGAAGAAATCTCTCTGGTATTCCTTTCTCTGTGTATTTGAGTATGGCCAGTGCCATGCCACATCTTGACTCCTGTACTCAATTGATTATATGGTAGTTTCAACCATTTGTTTTAACACTGTATATTTATATTAAAGATGTATCTGTTAAAAGCTGGGGGTTGCAGATTTTTGTACGAGTATATACACTTGAGTACAGTGGGGGAAAAAAGTATTTAGTCAGCCACCAATTGTGCAAGTTCTCCCACTTAAAAAGATGAGAGAGGCCTGTAATTTTCATCATAGGTACACGTCAACTATGACAGACAAAATGAGGAAAAAAATTCCAGAAAATCACATTGTAGGATTTTTTATGATTTTATTTGCAAATTATGGTGGAAAATAAGTATTTGGTCAATAACAAAAGTTTCTCAATACTTTGTTATATACCCTTTGTTGGCAATGACACAGGTCAAACGTTTTCTGTAAGTCTTCACAAGGTTTTCACACACTGTTGCTGGTATTTTGGCCCATTCCTCCATGCAGATCTCCTCTAGAGCAGTGATGTTTTGGGGCTGTCGCTGGGCAACATGGACTTTCAACTCCCTCCAAAGATTTTCTATGGGGTTGAGATCTGGAGACTGGCTAGGCCACTCCAGGACCTTGAAATGCTTCTTACGAAGCCACTCCTTCGTTGGCCGGGCGGTGTGTTTGGGATCATTGTCATGCTGAAAGACCCAGCCACGTTTCATCTTCAATGCCCTTGCTGATGGAAGGAGGTTTTCACTCAAAATCTCACGATACATGGCCCCATTCATTCTTTCCTTTACACGGATCAGTCGTCCTGGTCCCTTTGCAGAAAAACAGCCCCAAAGCATGATGTTTCCACCCCCATGCTTCACAGTAGGTATGGTGTTCTTTGGATGCAACTCAGCATTCTTTGTCCTCCAAACACGACGAGTTGAGTTTTTACCAAAAAGTTATATTTTGGTTTCATCTGACCTTATGAAATTCTCCCAATCCTCTTCTGGATCATCCAAATGCACTCTAGCAAACTTCAGACGGGCTTAAGCAGGGGGACACGTCTGGCACTGCAGGATTTGAGTCCCTGGCGGCGTAGTGTGTTACTGATGGTAGGCTTTGTTACTTTGGTCCCAGCTCTCTGCAGGTCATTCACTAGGTCCCCCCGTGTGGTTCTGGGATTTTTGCTCACCGTTCTTGTGATCATTTTGACCCCACGGGGTGAGATCTTGCGTGGAGCCCCAGATCGAGGGAGATTATCAGTGGTCTTGTATGTCTTCCATTTCCTAATAATTGCTCCCACAGTTGATTTCTTCAAACCAAGCTGCTTACCTATTGCAGATTCAGTCTTCCCAGCCTGGTGCAGGTCTACAATTTTGTTTCTGGTGTCCTTTGACAGCTCTTTGGTCTTGGCCATAGTGGAGTTTGGAGTGTGACTGTTTGAGGTTGTGGACAGGTGTCTTTTATACTGATAACAAGTTCAAACAGGTGCCATTAATACAGGTAACGCGTGGAGGACAGAGGAGCCTCTTAAAGAAGAAGTTACAGGTCTGTGAGAGCCAGAAATCTTGCTTGTTTGTAGGTGACCAAATACTTATTTTCCACCATAATTTGCAAATAAATTCATAAAAAATCCTACAATGTGATTTTCTGGATTTATTTTTCTCAATTTGTCTGTCATAGTTGACGTGTACCTATGATGAAAATTACAGGCCTCGCTCATCTTTTTAAGTGGGAGAACATGCACAATTGGTGGCTGACTAAATAATTTTTTTCCCCACTGTATATAAAACATTAAGAACATCTCTTTCCATGACAGACTGGCCAGGTGAATCCAGGTGACCGCTATGATCCAGTATTGTTAAAATCACTTCAGTCAGTGTAGACGAAGGGGAGGAGACAGGTTAAAGAAGGATTTTTAAGCCTTGAGTCATGGATTGTGTGTGCGCCGTTGAGGGTGAATGGGCAAGACAAAATATTTAAGTGCCTTTGAACGGGGGCATGGTAGTAGGTGCCAGGCGCACCTGTTTGTGTCGAACTGCAACGCTGCTGGGTTTTTCACGCTCAACAGTTTACCGTGTGTATCAAGATTGGTCCACCACCCAAAGGACATCCAGACAACTTGACACAACTGGGAAGCATTGGCGTCAACATGGCCCAGCATCCCTGTGGAACGCCTTCGACACCTTGTAGAGTCAATGCCCTGACAAATTGAGGCTGTTCTGAGGGCAAAAGGGCAACTCAATATTAGGAAGGTGTTCAAAATGTTAGGTATACTCAGTGTAAATCTTTTAGGGGCTGTTTTGCCAGACACAGATAGACTAATCCTGGACTAAAAAGCTGTTTCAATGGAGATTCTCCACAGTTTCATAAATTGACCACTAGATGGAGCCCAAAGGTCAGCCTGTTCTATGAGAGGCCGGACTGCATTCTACAGTCCTGGAGGGAAGGAAGGATATTCTGCACTACAGAAGTAGCTGCTGAGTTTGCTACAACTCTAAAAATATCAGTGCAGATATATTAAATAATTTAACAGCCCAGAGATCTGGATTCACAAAGAATAGATAGGCACTTCAGTAGGCTTTGCACTTGGGCATGTGTCAAAATAGCTATGATGTGTGGGGGGGGGGGGGGGGGGGGAGCAAGCAATTATTTAAAAATATATATCAAATTGACTTTCAGTAGGACTAGCATTGCTTTAGTGTATTCTTTATTCTCCACCCCTGTGAATTAATTTAATGTCCCACAAGCACACAAATACTTGCATACTTTTCCATATCACAGACACAAGCTGCATTCCTGTTGATGGAAGCGGCTCCTGTATTCAATGCCACAGCTAGGCTGGACATTTAGTGTAAACAGTCACAGCAAAGAGGAAATGAACACATTCCAGAAGCCACCAGAACATTGCTCTGTTGTTCTGGGCACCACCCAGTAGAGAGTTAACTGGGGTTCAGGTATGGGCAGAGATGTGTTATTGTCCATTTAGCCATGGCATGGACAAGGGTCACTTTTTGTCTTGCTTTCTGTAACAGGGATTGCATGCAGAGAGGCTGCCTGGCTGGCTGGCCTGCATTTTTGGAGCCGTTTTTGTCTAGTACTGAAATTCCTGTCATTCAGCTACTATCTGTGGTCCAATTCTGTTTTCCAATTTAGAACGCTCTCTATGAGTCCAGGCTTCACTGGTCTGGTAAGTGGATTGTATTTTTCCTGCACAGCAAGAAGTTAACCCTTTGGGAGTCATAAATATTAGTTCTGTAAGGCTGGCCTGAGACTGAGACTCTCAGACGGCATGCATTTTCTCCACACTTGACTAAGGTTGTGTTGACTGAAGTAACACTAAACGCTTCATTAAGTGCAAGATTACGATCCCTGCCTCTAAAAATAGTATTTCAAATGAACTTACAAAAAGTTTGCCTTTTATCTTTTTTCCTCTCTTGGGCCACTACTTTGACGTTAGTCTTTGTTCATTATAGGATAGGATTAACTTTAATGTCCCCAAGGGGAAAATTGTCTTATGTGGAAAATAAAGCACAGAAGAAGGGATGTCTGACCAAACGAAGTGTCTTTTTTCTCCTGGTGGTTGCAACAAGCATTTATTTAGTGTGTGTTTCAGGCACATCAACCATCTGTCTGTTCTCCATGGCAGCAGAGAGAGAGTGAGAGAGAGAGCGTTCAGCGGGGCCTGTGTCTGAGCAAGACTTATAAGGACACCCTGCGATTGTTTTCCTCTTGGACACAAACACAGTCAGATGTGAGGGTGAGTCAGGGATAGAAAATTGTTGTTTGTGCCTGCCTGCCTGCCTATGTGTCAGTTGTGGTAGACTGTTCTAAGGATATGGTCCTCATCCCTTATAGTCAGAGGACTTGGCTAAAGCACAATGTTCTGGGACCAGGGTACTCAGAGTGTGTGTAGAGTGGAGATGTGAGTTGAAACTAAAGCCTTTTGTCTTTGTCCACCTGCCGTCTCTCCCCTTCACCCTCCAGACTTCCTCAAATAGAACCAGATCAATAAATCAATACCACTCTGTTATAGTCAGAACAAGCTGCTTATTGTCCTCAAACTCCCTCTGTTTCTCCAGCCCAGTTACAAGTACTCTGAATTAATATGAAATCATGTTACTTTGATCAAATACGAGAAATGAATTATAATTCCTCATTCTCGGGCTCCTGAGTGGCGCAGTGGTCTAAGGCACTGCATCTCAGTGCTTGAGGCGTAACTACAGACCCCCTGGTTCGATTCCAGGCTGTATCACAACCGGCCGTGATTGGGAGTCCCGTAGGGCGGCGGACAATTGGCCGGTGTAGGCCGTCATTGTAAATAAGAATTTGTTCTTAACTGACTTGCCTAGTTAAATAAAGGTAAAATAAAAATAAATAAATACAATTCTAATGCTATGGTATTTATTTCCACTTTCGGCCCTAGTGACAGATTAAATGAACTAGTTTGTGATGTGTAATTCAGTTTGAGCTTGATGCAAAAGCTGCTGTATTCTCCTCCCTTCAGCCCTGACAGAGTAATTTGGCCATTCAAAGACTCCATTAGAAATGAGAGCTTGGTGTCAGAGCGCTGTATGGAGCTGCTGGCTCAATACCCTGCTGCTCCATTTAAGACCGGGTGTGAGCTTTGGGCACTGAGGCCAACACACACACACACATACCACGATCCCACCCAAACACACTCTCACACACCCAATGTATGCATGTTGCTGCTGGAGAATCCTGGACGTTGGATCCCAGCCCAGTCTCTGCCGGACAGATGTCTTCCCTGAGAACAATCACCATCACCAGTGAAAATAATTGGTACCTTAGCCGTCTGCAGGAGACACTGAGGACCGGATGGATGAGAATT